AGTAGTAACGTGCACATAAAATTATTATTATCAATAACAGATTGTAGTAGAATTTTTTTAATAAAAAAAAATATTTTCTTAGCAGTAATGTATGGTAATAACTTTTCTACATGATTCTAGTTACAAATACCAAACATTTGTTCTCAGTTTATGGTTGAATTGAATATTGCATTTAACGGCTCGTTGAAAAAATGTTTGATTAAACAAAACTGACAACGCATCCCGGAGAAGCCGCGATGAATTGCGAGATGAAATAAGAGGGTCAGCGTATGCAGGATAAGTGCAGCCGCGCATACACGCGCATTGAATAATAAAACACGTAGGTACTGCTCGGGCCCTTTTTTTGCATCTCCGTTCGCCACCTTACGTGCGGCACGATGTTATCGTCGTCCTTACATCACGAATGTAGGCTGTGGCCTCAAATTTAAGCTACCCATCGAGAGTAGCCGCTACAATTATCTCTCCGCGCCTGCAAGGTCGTCGCATTGTGCATTCGAAGATGCAGTCGGCGCGGTTTCGTCACGCACAAGGCTGCCATTGTCGCCGTTCACCGTTCATTAAATGACGAACACTATGTTTCTCCATAATATCGATGCAATGTGTCTGTGGCACAGAAAAAAACCAGAAAAAAGAACGGATGGTGAGTGCCATCGCGCGTCATTACTCACGACGTGAAGTCGCGCGAATTTGGCGGCACCTGAATGTGAGTCAGGCAAGTCGCCGCGACTCGGTTTACGATCATCTTCGTGTTCCTCCTTTTTCCTTATGGACGAGAATAGTTAATTAATATGCCGTTTACTTAAGCGATGCGCCCTGTCCTTATACAGCGGCTTCGTCCCAACGCGGGCCATAAATCAAGGCGCGGGTTAAAAAAGGTTACATGTTTGCAGTAATGTTCGGTGATTGCAGCCCGGTCATAAAAATGTCAGCTTCGTGCGCTCTGAGACGCGGCTTGAATGATCTTTCGGCGGGCTGCAAATGTGTGCCGCTGCCGCGAATTCCACGTGTTTATCACGTATTTTTCACCGCGCCCCGGTCTGTAAATTTTCATTTCGAACGTACAATAACTCGCATGTTCTCGAGGATAATTTCAAATCGCGGCAGATCTTGGCTTTTGATTATTAGTATTTTGAGAACCGACAATAGCCACTTAAATTCAAAGCGTAAATGTCTCGCTGTTACGCGTTTTGTTCGTCTTTCGGACAAATTATGCATGGTTTGATTCATAAACCAGTTCACGTATCTTTCTCTGCGGATGGGACATATCGCGAGTCATCGAGTTCTTGGAGTTTTCCTGTTGTTAACTGATGAGAAGCGCTATTTTTAATGCGACAATGGAGACGACTCATCGTGATTGTTCGTCGCGGAGACGAGCCGACATCCGGTGTGAACTACAAATTTTCGCGACTTGATCGCGACATTTTCGGCACACGCGTCTGTCGTTCGCGATTTTGTGAGGCGGAGTCTCTAGTCGGCAATGAGACTAACAATGGCATTGCGGTACTGCTCGAATTTAATTTAAAGGCAGCCGGGGCCCATTGTACGCGCTAGAACGTATAAATAGACGCGACATGTGAGCCCACGTACCGGATTTATGCCACCGAACATCCCGTTCTCATTGTCGCAGACGAATTTATATTCACGGCCCTATTTATCTCCGCGTAAAAAGGCGGTTGAAATTATTTCAATTTTGCCCTGCTAAACGACCCATTGCGTAAGACCTGCGCCCCGATGGAATGCAATTTGCATCGCAGAATGAATCCGCTCGCGTCACGGTGAACAAAAAAGAAATAATCTGTTTATTCGCGCGTATGGAGATCGTTACTGCTATTAGTAAAACATTAGATTCAACTATCGCAATCTTCTGTGACTCTGCGTCCTTAGATTTGTTCAAAAAAGTTCGAGAAAGAACTCGTCTTGAAGAACGTCCGTGGACAAAATCGGCAAAAATCAAACTTGAAAGTCCGAAATCTTGTACTTCTTGAAAGAGAATTTAATGATGTATATTTTCGAATATATAAGTGAGAAGAATATGTTTTCATTATGTATGTTATGACCAAAGTATATAGAATAATCGGGTGGCGAATAAAAGAAAAATCAAACTTCGAGAGAATCGCTTTTCTAGACGTTCGTAAAGGTAGGTTTATATTACGGACAAGTTATAGAACATCGTCACGCGGCGATAATGTGCGAGCAAAAGAAATTAAATACAGAAATTCTTATCGCAAGTTATATAGAGAACACCGATTAGGATCGTCGCGTCAGAAGCACTTAACAGCTGATACGGTCGGTGACGGTGATGTCGTTCGGGGCCCGTTTTATTGCCGTTTGCGCCAGTCCAGAACCGAGGTGAGGACATTGTTTGAACGTCTGGGAATCTCTCATGATTGTCGTGCTCCCCATTCTCGTAATAGCGGGCGTATTCAAATACCGGCTTGTACACGTTTGCCGGCGGATTGTTGAGCAACGGAAAAAAAACAACACAGGAGGTAGAATCCCCGATGTCGTTCCCGTAACATTGCTCGACACTGTCACGTACCATTCGCTTGCTTTTGCAAGAGGGGAACCGGCGGGAGAAACGTAAACGGAATTGTCCTCAGTTATTCATCGGAATATCGGAGATTCGCCGTGGTCGCACTTTTTTCGCGGGTTTTATGAGTCGATACACAAAATTACGTAAAGCAGATTAAACCGCGGAATTTCTCAACGGCGTGCTCCGTTCCAAGAGACGGATAGTTACGTTCCCTCGTGGGGCTCGAGTTCAATCTGTCGACTTCGCGCACGCAGCCGTTAATCAATTTTGCAACGAGAGCCAGGCGATACGAACGGAACTCGTTACTCGCTTTGCCTCTTCAAATTTTCTGCTTGCGCGGCCGCGCGAGTTATCGTTTGCTCCTAAGGCGAGAGGGCCCGCATTGTTTACAATTACTTTCGCGCGATGAGCAATATTCGCGCCCGACGTAATTTGCGATTTATCGCAGTCATGGGTGCGTCGGCGCACGTACGCGGAGCCGATCCTAACAAATTGCCGATAGCGAGGCAGAGATAGATCGGGCAACAGTAAGAGCAACAGTCCGAGAGAAGAAAATAATGGGCCACGAGACAAGAGCGGCCTGCTCGCGGCCGCGTTGGTTTCACATAACTGTTAACGGTGTTGTCGGTCGGTCGGTCGGTCGGTTGCTTGCTCGCTTGCTTCGTCTATATCGAGATCGACGTGGCTCGGTCAGCAACAAAAATCGCGGGATCCTGCGCGCGCGCCCGACTTACCTGTTATCAATTAACTGTTAATGTCGCCGCGCTCTCGGTACCTACGATAGCACGTCCATCGTGCGTGCTATCGAATAAATCGCGCGCGCGCGATGAATAATAAGTACAACGATGAATAATAAGTACATCGATGGCAATTCGCAGCAACAATCGGCGATTTCCCGTGAACAACCCGACGAGATGAAATTCGCGCGATCTGAGTTTCAGTTTCGGCCGGAATACACGTCTCGTTTTGTATTATCCGCCTTCCACGTAGCTGTTAACTCTTGCCATTTCGCGAATACCTCGGCTGCGTTCGCGCGTTTCCTTTATCGTGGTAAATCTTGGTGCGATTCAGCGCCTGTCACTTTCGCATTTGCATTATGCGAAACGACTCGCATTGCGTTAACTATTTCGGCACAGACGCATTTATCGGGGTCTCTCGCTTGTCTCTCGTGTGTACCGGCCAATCTCACGTGTTCTCTATCCCTCGAATGGGCGCAGTCGCGCGCGCCTGGAGGCGCGTAAATTTATGAACGAGGAAACGGCAGGAACGGCGGAGGAACATAGCTTTTGCAACGTCTGCTTTCCTGAGCGGCAGAACGAACTGTTCGGTGATATAAGGACGAGCGTGGGCGGCTCACTTTTGCGCGAGATCGCAAGCGCAGCTTCGGAACTGGTTTCGCACGAATTAGATGTCCGATGCGTTTTCGCGCGATACCTATAGAGACGCGAATTTATACCGAGACGCGCCGCTCTGAGCGGCCGTTTAATTGTGTTACGTAAGTTTTTTCCGGCATCGCGTCGTGGTCTCGCGATCACAACAAGACACAAAGTCGCCGATGAGGAGCGCGTGTTCAAATCCATTCAGGATTCTTGTGTAAATGCCGAAGAATTCTTTCCTGCGAGATCAAAGGAAGAAACCGTCATGGGCGAATGCTCGTCTCATTAACTGGTTCTAGTTACGTTCCCGTTATTATCATATTTCCTTTTCGCGAAGTGCGCGTACACTTGTCGGACGCAACGTGCCATCAACGTGCCGACAACTTCCGTAATCTGTGTGCACTCGATTGTTTTTATTCAAATGAAAAGCGCTCTATTCGCGGCTATTACTATTCTCATTCGACGTTCCTGTGCGCAGAGATTATAGTGCTCGCGACACCTCCTCTGCATTTCATAGGAGTTCCGTAATAACCGGGAGCGCGAGACGCCGGCGCCAAGAGTGCGAGTCGAGATTTCGTGGACGAGACGCCGCGACGACGAAGAAACTCGGAGGCTTGATTTTTTGCAATAGCCTAGCTAAAATACGACGAATGATAAATTTCGCATTTCCTGCGAAATAACCGTGAATTATCGTGCAAATTTTTATCATACGATTAGATCGTATGATAAAAAACGAAAGACTTGAAGACCTGAAGATGGAGAAGCAAAGAAAGCGCGAGACATCTTTAGAAAAATTTCCAAATCATATCTCCGCGCTTCTTCAGTTTTCTTATCCTCCCGCTCTCATTTAGATTAGCGTTGATTGCGGCCGTGACGTTACAGCTCAATTTCTCGCGATCAAAACACGCTATCGCACAAAGAATCCTTAACGTCAGAAGCCAGCTCTCGTTATTTTTCGTCGGAATCGCCGGCGAGTCCCGATCACCCTCATAAATATTCAGGAGCGCCGCTTGGGATGCCGCGATGTAATAATACATGACGTCCCGGCGCCGCGACGACAAACGGGAAGAGAGAACCGTGAATCGTCTTACCTTATACGTCATTCCACGACCTTGACGCCGAGGGGATCGGTCGTTCCGTCACTTGCGCTGGTTCGTGACACTTTTCCACCTTCGTTGTGCTCACAAGAGGATCCAAGGAGAAAGATAGATGTAGGGGATAGAAGAGAAAGAGAGAGGGAGGGAGCGAGGGAGAGAGAAAAACAGAGAGAGAGAGAGAGAGAGAGAAAATAGGTAGCAGAAAGCGCTGTGAATAAAGAAGAGCACTCGTTTTCAAACAACACACTATCCTCACACTCGAGATCACTCTCCTTCTTCTTCCTTTTCGGGCCTTCGTATTTGCGCCTAGATATCGGCCCTAGATATCTACAAGGTTGCGAGATCTCGAAACGTCCGCACAAACATCCCGCTGATCTGTGTCGAATCTCCCCTTAGTAGTTTAGCGATTCACCAGGAAGCTTCTCGTTCCTTCGATACCTCGTGGTGCCGACCACGTGCTTGGATAACGGTTCCGATCGCTCCCGCTCTCCCGGTTCGTGATGCACACAACGCGTGTCCCTTCTCGAGTAAAACGAATCGAGTGCCACACACCACAGCGCGGACAGCTTCTTGTCTGCGAGGATCACCCTCTTCCTACTCTTCCTGACTAGAGTTCGCTCGCGTCTCGGTTGGCGTTGAACGACGACCGTTTCAATCTCTGCGACGATCCTGTCGGGTGCGGGCGACCGGTCTCCCGAGAGATCGCGCAATAAATCAATCCCGTTGCAGGCTCGATCAATCGGGTCACGCGTGTTGAGCGCGTGTCGTGTCGTGGTCGACAGGACAGCCGAGTCCTGACTGTCGGTTTCTCTCTCGGGAGCGACGGAAGGAGCCAACCACGTTGCTCACCACCGTCCGGCGATCGTTTGGTGCCCGTGCTCCGTTGTCCAGGTCCTCTCTCGAGGCGTGTGATATCCCCCCTCCTCCTCCTGCTCCTTCCTGCCGCGGACGAAGCGGAATATCAGCGAGAACCGAGAGCGCTCGCGGAGGAGATTCGTGAGACGCGACGAGAGCGGAGTGTGGTCTGTACGGTGGTGAGTAAGCCGTGTGACGGTGTGTAAAGCGGCCGATGCCGCGTATGAATGCCGTACACGGACACACTGACACGCACCATACACCCACACACGTGCACACTCCGGTGGTGAGACGCGCGTATACAAGTCAACAGACACGCAGGCATATACCGTCGTGGGTACTGTCGATTGGGCGGGGAGACTGAATTCGTAGGCTGGCGGGTAGGTTTAGTAAGTAGGTAGGTAGGTAGGTTGGTAGGTAGGTAGGTAGATAGGTAGGTAGGTAGGTGAGCCAAAGGGGGAACAACACTGAGGAGACGTCCGCACACGGACGAGCACACCGCGGGGTACGTCGCAGGTGTGAGTGTGTTGGGCCGCACGGTGTGGCCAAAGGACGTGTGTGGGTGCTTGCGCGACTGCGACTATGCCTCTGTATGCGTGTGTATGTATGTATGTTTCTGCGAGTCTGTGAGAGTGCACGCGCAGAGGATAGCGAAGGAGCTCCCCTGCGTGTTAACCGTGAGAGACGTCGGGAAGGTAAGTGCTCTCCTCTCTTTTCAGCTTCGGAGTAGCACCACGCCGGCACGCGACCTGCCTTCCCCCCCTCTCGCTGCCACCCCTCCCTCTCTCTCCCTCTACCGCCTGTATCCACTTCTTCGTGTTCCTTTTCCTACTCCGTCAGCGAAGGACGTCTCCCTCTAGCTAACGTTTCCTCCGCTAGGTTCCTTCGGAGCACTCTTCTGACTGTCCTTCCCACTCCCCGTGAGTCGGGTCGGGATCATGGAGAGGTGGATAGTGTTGGTGCACCACTCCCACCCGATGGTCACCGACACACCGGAATCCTCCCAGCCAGTCGACGTGCTCTCGCGGAAGCGAGAGGAAAAGAGCGAGAGAAAGAGAGGCAGGGTGGGATAGAATGAGGAGTATCGAACAGTCACTATCTCTTCTCTATCGTTACTCGCGGTGTAACCTCCCAGCCAACTAATTCACCTTTGCAACTGTATCGACACCCTACCGCTCCTTCGTCCGCGAGTACATTCGTTCCTTCCTCTCGGTTCTCTTTTCTTGTGTTCCTTTTTCTTCTTCATCTCATCTTCTTCTCCTTCGTTCTTATTCCCGTGTGTTCGCCGATAGGGATCTGAACGACTTGAAAGAAGGTCAAACACACTTAGAAGGAAACACACAACCAAGCGTAATAATTCATGTTTGCGGATAATTGTATTTTCAGAAATTGTTTCGTCGCATGACCTGCAATTTTATTTGGTATTAGCTGTAATTCCGTATCCAGCCGAATAATATGAATTTTATGTTATGTAGAAGACTATATGTGTATCAACGTGAACTTTATTTCAGTTGTGTCGAAAGATCGAATTCAGGATACACACACACACACAATCTACAATCACAAGATTCCGTTAAGCTAAAATCGGCTCCGAACTCATCGAAGCATCTATGGATGAAAAGACACCCGATATGCTTGAGACCCTCGTTGTATCGTTAGCTTTCAGGTTGTATACTTTCGATTTGGTTACGCGCGGCTTACTTAGTCATCCCGCTGTCACATTATCTATCGACTTCCTGCTTAGTCCGCTTCGTTTCGATTTCGGTGTTGTCGCAATTGTATCAAGAGTGTGTCAGTATTTCCACGTCTCTCCTCCCTGGTGTCGGACCTCGCCATCAAAGATCGAAACCGTGCTTCACCGACGATCATCGTACCGTGGCACTCTTGTTTCGCTCCTCACCTACCAGCTACATCCACCTCCGCAACTGTATTGTCGTCCCACCACAAGATACTCTGCTCAGACTTCTCGACTCTCGATGTAGATGACGATGACGATCCAGTTGTCCTAGGACTGGACTAGCTCGTTGTCACCGTTTTTACCGAGCTCCTTCGACTCTCTCTCTCTCTCTCTCTCTCTCTCTCTCTCTCTCTCTATATATATATATATATATATATATATATATAT